TCAGCACAAATTTGTCTCAATCAGTCCGGAAATTTTGGGACGATCAGAAGATTTTTGTTTATATCATACATGCCAATAGAATATCGTCATGTATAATCAGTACAAATCCTTGAATATCATCCAGACAATCACACTGAATGAATGTATGGACGATAAAAAAATAGCTTGATCATCCAGGTTAATCTCACGATCATCGTGGATGATTAGTTCAAATCCGTAAAAATTGTCCAGAGCATCGCCCTGAATAGCAGCTGGCCGATGTTGATTGTTCATGAACAACTAAAATTTTTTTGAACTGATTGTCCCGACCGATCCTGCGATCATCCAGGATGATTTGATCGAGCAATCAAACCTTAATTGCTTTCCTTAATAACCAGATTAATCTAGGCATAACTGTGTTTTATCGTCTAGGATGATATCCTGGACGATATCCAAAATTAAATAATACCTAAATAGATATGGTGGTTGATTCTTTCTAATTTGAGCCTATCGTCTCGACTGAAACAAATACCATCCAAGATGATGTGCTTAATGACGGCTGCCTTAACCAGGATGCCCTAATTAGGGTTTTTATTTTTAACAGATCGTCCAGGATGATTAGTGGATCGTCCCAGACAATATGACCAAAATAGAGAACTATAAAAACAGGCAAAAATTTTCCCCATGTGTGTGTGTGTGCAAGGTTACTTAGCATCGTGAACCACATCGTTTACAATAAACTCAAGAAAGGAAAAAGTTTACAAATTGACTCAGACCTAGTCTATCCAATCTTGAGCTGGTTCAAATTGTAGTTTGATCTTGTGGACCTAAAATATTAGTAGGCAAGGTAGTCGTAGAGAAACAGAAGTATTTGCTATCATCAAAATTATACTTTCTGAAAGCAGATTTGCAAAAGTTATTCCAAACCCAGACAGTTTCACTATTTATTTTTTTTCAAAAAAGATTGTATATCATTAAAGAGGATCTTTTTAGAGCTATTAAAGGTTTCTTTACAGGTATGGCTATCCCTAAATATTTTTCAAGCACTTCTATTATTCTGATTCCTATATGTGATAACCTATCAAATTGGTCTGATTATAGACCTATTAGCTTATGCTCTACTTTAAATAAAATAATTTCAAAGATTCTTGCCTCTCGGATGTCTCACTTGCTTCCTAGGATTATTTCCCAACATCAAACTGGCTTTGTAGGTAGAAGTATTGTGGATAATGCTTTATTAGCTCAATAGCTCATTCTTGATATTAACCTTTATGTTTATGGCTAGAATATTAGATATATCTAAAGTGTATGACAATATCAACTATAAGTTTATTTATAAAGTTTTACATCTCTTTGGATTTAATGAAACTTCTATTTTGTTAATTTCCAATATCATTTAAACCGTTTGGTACTCTATTATTATTAATGGTCAAAGTAGAGATTTCTTCTGAGCTTGTAGGGGTATTAGACTAGGTGACCCTCTATCACCTGTCATCTTTGTTATTGTTGCTGATTACTTGTCTAGAGGCATACATAATTTATTTTCTCATTATAAGAGTTTGCTTTACATTAATAAAGATGGTTTGCCTATGTCTCACTTATGCTTTGCTGTTGATTTCATTATTTTTTAAAATAGTTCTTTCAAGAATGTACAAAATATTTATATGTTTGTTTTAAAGTTTAGCTAAGAAAGAGGCTTAAGTCATAACCTTAATAAGTGCTCCTTCATTCCTGGTAAAGATATGACTCAAAGAAATATCAATCGTATTTGTCTTTTTATGGATTTTTCTATACAAAAGCTTCCTATTTTCTATTTAGGGACCCCGATTTATAAAGGCACAAGAAAAGCTTTGTTTTTGAAAAGGTTTTTATAGCCATTGATATCATCTAGCTTCTTGGGAATTTAAACGGCTCCTCTTGGTTGGTTAGTTGGTTCTTATTAAGAGTGTTATTTCCTCCCTTTCAATGTAATTATTTCAAACTCTTAATCCCTCTTTAGAAGTTTGTGATTGAATGAAGAAAATCTTTAATAAGCTTTCTTGGGGTTCTACTTCTAAGTCCAAAAAGAAGATTCACTGGAGATCTTGGGTCTCTTGTACCGGTACCGTTGTAGAACGAGGGCTTGGATGTAAATCTATCAAAGATATGGTTAACTATTTTACTATTAAACATTGGTGGAAGTTTAGATTAAACCAATGCCTATGGGATGCTAATTATATGAATAAGAGGTATTGCAGTCGAATCATCCTTCATATTATTTCTTGAAAAACTTTCAACCTCCTATTTGGTATAGATTGTGTAAGATCTAGTGGCTGGGTGAATCCTTTTTGCAATATGGGCTTAGTAAGGGTAATTGTTTCTTTTAGGAAAAGAATTGGTCAAATTCTGGTTATTTAGATGTGATTTTGTACACTCATTCTACTTTGAATTTGAAGGTTTCTGATTTTTTTAGCAATGAAATTGGAATTATAATTGTTTGATTGATGTTCTTCTAGCCCGAGTGGCTGATAGGATTTTGAACATACCTTTGGAGATAAATAGCCCTGACATTATGATTTTTAAAAATTCTAAGGATGGTGAATTTTGCTCTAAGGATGTTCAGAATACCATAAGAGTTAAATTTGGTAATTTTATGGTATTTGATAAATTTGGATTATTAATACTCCCATTGTTTATTCAATTTTCACTTGGCGACTTCTGAAAGTTTTTCTTCTAGTTGATATGAGACTCCTATCTAAAAGTTTCAACATTGCTTCTAAATGTCAATGCTTCTTTCATGTTGAAACCATAAATCATGTTTTTTTTATTGGGCTTACTGCTTATAAAGTCTATACCATGTTGGATAGTGCTTTAAGTTCCAGCTTTGACATTAATATGATTAATTGCCTATCTTTTTTAGAGAGTTGTTGCTCCAAATGTTGAGCCAACCATATTGCCATCCTTATTTCTATGATTATTTTCTAGCTTTTATGGGTGGTGAGAAACAATAGTAAACATATGGGTATCAAAATGAGCTCTGATAGAATCATTATTTTCCTTAAGTTGAAAATACATCAAATGATTAATGCCAAAGCATTTTAAAGGTGATATATCTTGGACTAATTTTTTTCAGATTTCTTTTCAGAAGGATAACATTAGAAGTGTCTTTAGTGTGGTTTATTGGATTAAACCGGTTGTTAATCAGTTCAAATTGAATATTGATGGCTCTCTCTCTAAAGTTGGAGGATGTGGTGGTATTCTTAGAGATTTTAAGGGTAATATGGTTTTTTCTTTTGTTGATAAAGTTTATAATGCAAATGTTAATTTTACTGAAGCATCTGCCCTTCTTATTGACCTTAATCTTTGCATTCAATTCAGGATTCAAAATATTTGGATTGAGTTTGACTCTTTAATTTTGGTTAATCTCATTAAAAGCAAGGTCTGTAATAATGTTTCATATTTTTATATTTTTAGAAGTATTATGAATCAATTGAATCTTATTGAATTTTTTATCACACATTTTTTCCGAAAAGGCAACTCTTGTGCTGATTTATTAGATAGAAAGGTGTTTCTCTTCAAGGCATGGAGATTTATACTTCCCTCTCAAATTTTGCACATGCTAAAAGGTTTGGTGAGAATGGATAAGCTTGATTTTCCCCATTTCAATGTCAAATATTAATGGGGTTTGGTTTAATTTTTCAATGTCTCCCATTTGCTCGGAGTTGCTCCTATGGCCTTTATTTTGGTGGTGTTGGTTCCAGCTTCGCTACGGTCTTATTTCTTAAATAATGATTATTGGATTGCCTATGGAATGGTTTTTGGATTCGGGCACTTCGAACCTTTGATTTATTTCGTTTATCTATTCTTATGAGTCGATTCAGGTGATTCTATAAGTTTATTTATGGATCTTGTTGTTGGTCGTTTCTTGAATTTTTTTTTTTGCTGGGACTTTTGCCTTAATGGATGGTCTTGGTGAACTAA